GTCCTTGGGACAGAAGAGCCAGGTCTGGAGGTGGCTGATGAGGAAGAGGAAGAACAGCTGGGTCCAGTGCCTGACGCGTGGATGCACAGAAGGCAGAGGAGAAGAGAGCAGTGGAAATCTATGGGCTGGTCCTTGGGACGGAACAGCCACAGCTGCTAGCAAAAGCCCACCCTACCCCTGGGGATAAATAGCAGGGGGTGGAGATGGATAGATATGGCACACAACTATTCATCTCCCTGCCAGACAGACTTGTTTCCCTGTGGTGAGAGAGAGACTTTTTGCTGGGGCTGCTGGGGCTCCTGATAAAGGAATCTTTGAGTTCATTTCAGAAGGTTTGTCGTGTTTGGGGAGCTGGATCAGAACAGGATCGCTGTCCTGATTTGGGATAACCATGACCTGGATGACTGAGACTCTCCACAGACATTCAAGCATCCAAAATTCACGTCTTTCTTTGCACCAACTAACCTTTGCAATAATCTGCAGGATCTTCTTGCTCTTCATCATCAGAGCCCAGAATTTCTTCCTCTGGTTCTGGCTGTGTCGGTTCCGGCAATGGTGGAGGAGAAGGAGGAGGAGGAGGAGGAGGAGGCGGTGCAGAGGGAACTTTTTGTTGAGGCTCTGGCCTACAAAGGAAATAATATGTAGAGATATGTACGTATTCAGAAAGTAAAATGCTTGAGCAAATTTCCAGGAGCTTTGTCTTTTCTCAGCTTCTCATTCAAACATTCTTTATGAAAGAGGATAATTGATTCGGCGTGGGCTGCAGAAATAAATCTGAAAATGTTATGGAACACGGGAAGAATGGGGAAAAAAAGAAAAACAACAGCAGGTTGGTATGTAGGATTTACAGCACACGCATAAAATCAGATTAAAAGATAAGAGGAAAACCACTACCTCTGTTCCTGATCTGGCCAGTACAAAGTACCATCTTTTGAATAAAATGGTACTTAGGGATCCAATCTGAGTCGGTCAACGGGAACAGAGGTTTTGTCTTCCGAGCTTTCAGACTTGTTCTGGAGCCCACCCTCGGGGAACTTCTCTCCCACCAGAAGTGTGTGCTGTTCTGTGTGTAGTATGTCAGGAAGGGATGCAGTGGCTCAGTGGCTAAGAGGCTGAGCTTGTTGATCAGAAAGGTCGGCCGTTCAGCGGTTAGAATCCCTAGCGCTGCGTAACGGAGTGAGCTCCCGTAACTTGCCCCAGCTTCTGCCAACCCAGCAGTTCGAAAGCACGTATAAAAATGCAAGTAGAAAAATAGGGACCACCTTTGGTGGGAAGGTAACAGCGTTCTGTGTGCCTTCGGCATTTAGTCATGCCGGCCACATGACCACGGAGACGACTTCGGACAGCACCACCCCCTAGAGCCGGAAACGACTAGCACATATATGCAAGGGGAACCTTTACCTATGTCAGCTTTGGAAGCCATATTTTTATTTAGACGCTTCCCCGCTGTCACATTTTAGTGCCTGGGAATTTGGGAGGGGGGATATCATAGTGTGAGAAAGTTTAGACATAACAACATTCTTCTTCTGAGTCAAGGACAAGTTGTCCTGTACCTGGCAAGGAGCGGTAGGAGGAATGTTTCTTGTTGGGATGGCCCCTTATTGGACCATGGGATGGACTGATGGGTGCGGGGGATGGGATTTTGAGTTTCAGTTATGGAGGGAAAACCCAGAACTCTCAGATTTGGATTTATCCAGATGTGCCAATATGACTACTCTAATAAAATGGAGCTTTGAGAAAATGCCCATCTCGGAGTGCATTGGTTTGGAGTTTGTTAATTGGAACACTGACATGGTATTTATAGTTGTGTGTGTGTTTTTAGATGTTGATTGTGGTGGCTTTGACGTTATTGGCTTGTGCTGCCTGTTTCCTAGGCTTCAATTCACTTCCCTGGCTGTTTTTGTGACTGCTCGTCCAACAATCTTAGTAGCTCTAACATTGAATCTAGCACACGCTCTTCTCTAAAGTTCTTTGAGGATATGGGCTCCAGCACGAGTCCAAAAGCTCGGAAGACAAAACCTCTGGTCTCGGTGACCGACCCAGATCCGATCCTGCAACATTATCCTGGGACACAAATATTCATAACGTGGTACTTCTTTCAAGATGTGAAACTTTTTTAATTTTGCTGACAGCAGCAAAGTGATCACAACTTCTGTTACAAGTAATCCTCAGCTTACAAGCACAATTGAGACCAGAATCACTGCAGTTGTTGAACAAATTGTGCAGTCTTTAAGTGAAACTGGCTTCCCCGTTGACTTTGCTTATCAGGAGGTCACAGAATGTGATCACATGACCCCAAGACACTGCAACCTTCATAAACGTGAGTCAGTTGTAAATCACATGACCACGGGAAAGCTACAACGGTTGTTAGCGTGAAAAATGGTCCTAAGTCACTTTTTGTCCCAATAATCTATATACCAAAGCAAAATACCACTCACGCATCATCACAAAATCTCCAGAACCGTAAAGCCAACGAACTTGAAATTTGGCCCATATGTTCCAAATTGGCTTCTAGGTGCTCACTAAGAAAGGATTTTTGGAAATGACCATCAGAGCATTTAGAGTATTTCCTATATTATTATTATTAATACGCTCTGATGCTAAGGAGTTCTACTCCCCCTCCCCATCTGTTCCAAATGCAAAACACAAGCAGAGAAGAGGAGGAGTTTCAGTTTTGGTTTCACAGCACCAAGCAGCTTTACTGCAGAACACTTGAGCTAAGGCAGGCCCAGGCTCCTTGCTGTCTCCTTCTTGCTCAGTTTCAGTTTCCAAACAGCCCTCAACTCTCTCACACACTGAGAGGACGCTGGCCAGATGAATACCGATGGATGCTGTTAGGCAGAGGCAAAATCCACCCCCCCTTATTTTCCTCCCCAAAAACTAAGCCTGATCACATAGTTTCGTAGCGAAGCATGGGTATCGAGCTAGTGGTTGCATAAAGTTCCTATTTTCTCATTCTCCATTAGCATCCTGTTCGAGTATGAAAAGGGCTTATACAACAGAAACTATCAGTAACAATATCAATCTATGAAAAAGCAGAATCTGAAGGCTAAAGCAGACCAGCAAAGAAGAGAACACAGCCTTAGGATAAGCAAGCAAGTCATCGGGGAAGGCCATTCACAAAACCTTGTCATCTATGAATTATTAAATGAAAAACCTGCTCCATGCATTTTAGCAGCAAACTGGTTATAAAATCTCGCAACTCCAGTGACCTAGCAGATAGTTCAAATAGGCATAGTTTTTAATTGTTTGGCTTAATCTACAGGGAGTCCTTCCAAGAGTTCGTCTAGCGACCGTTCCGAGTTACAATGGCACTGAGAAAAAGTGACTTGAGGACCATTTTTCCACACTTACGACTGATGCAGCATCCCCACGGCAATGGTGAGATTCAATTTTTTTTATTACTGGTTCTGTGGACGTGGCTTGGCGGGCGTGACTTGGCTTGGCGGGCATGACTTGGCTTGGCGGGCATGGCTTCGCTTGGTGGGCGTGGCAGGGGAAGAATATTGCAAAATCTCCATTCTTTCCCCACCCCACTAACCTGCTTTCCAGCTCTGTTCTCCTCTGCAGGGCAACCAAAGAAGACCCAGCCGATCAGCTGGGACTTGCTGGGAGGCAGAGAAAAGATGGGATGGAGCCAGTCAGAGGTGGCATTTGCCGGTTCTCCGAACTACTCAACATTTCCGCTTCCAGTTCTCCAGAACTGGTCAGAACCTGCTAAAGACCACCTCTGCCCCGCGGTCATGAGATCAAAACTCAGGCACTTAGCAATTGACTCATAATTACGATGGTTTGCCGCGTCCCAGGGGTCACATGGTCACTTTTTGAGACCAGAATCAACGGGGAAAGCCAGATTCATTTAATAACGGTATTGCTAACTTAATAACCGCAAAAATTCACTTAACCACAGTGGCAAGAGAAAAGGTTGTAAAAGGGCTAAAACCCCACTTAACAATGGTCTGGCTTAGCAACAAAAAATTGTGCAATCAATTGTGGTCGTAAAGCGAGGACTAGCTGTAATTTACCAGACGAATTTATCTTTCAACTCCAAAACCATGTTTCAGCACTCTTTTTTTTTCCTTTCTTCCTCTCTGCACAAAAAAAAATAAAAAATGAGCAATATCAAAATATAAAAAGGAACTTAAATTTTCTACTATGCTGCAGCATTACTATGGCAACTGGCTTAGATGTCTATTCATATCACCAAGTGCCAGCGACAACTTTAGGTACAGTAAACGAAACATTGGCTCTAAGTCTTTCTTTCAGCCGGAAAAAGCTTCCTTAAGAAAGCTTCTAAATGAAGGTTCTGCTTTAAGGTGACATTTTGGAGCTAGAAAAATAAATCAGTTTATTTTCAATATACCGTATATCCCATTTAGTTTGCTGCGAATGCATGCTAATGCAAAACCAAGATTTTACCTGGTACCATTGTCCCCTAGTTGAAAATAAGCTGAGTGTGAAATTGCTATCTGTTGCAAATACAATTGCAGTAACATACAAAATTCTTCATCTCAAAATAATACAGAGCAATGTAAATAACTGGGTACTTTATTTATACTACAGTTTAGTAAGACCATACTTGGAATATTGTATCCAGTTTTGGTCGCCATGATATAAAGAAGATGTGGAGACTCTAGAAAGAGAGCAAGGAAGAGCTACAAAGATGATTAGGAGGACTGGAGGCTAAAACATATAGAGTACAGTTGCTGGAACTGGGTTATGTCTAGGTTGATGAAAAGAAGGACTAGGGGTGACATGATAGCAATATTCCAATATTTGAGGGGCTGCCTCAAAGAAGAGGGAGTCAAGCTATTCTCCAAAGCACCTGAAGGTAGGACAAGAAGCAATGGGTGGAAACTGATCAAGCAACCTATAGAACTAAGGAGAAATTTCCTGGCCGTGAGAACAATTAACCAGTGGAACTTCTTGCCACCAGAAGTTGTGGATGCTTCAACACCGGAGGTTTTTAAGAAGAGATTGGACAACCATTTGTCTGAAATAGTATAAAAATTTCCTGCCTAAGCAGGGGTGTGGCACATTAAGTAAGAAAGCCTATTCCAGAGAGAATGAGTGTGGTTTGAGTATGTGTATCTGTCTACTTATTTATTAGATTTTAGATGTTTATCCCGCCTTTATTATTTTGTAAGTAAGGTGGCGAACATACAAAATACTCCTTCTTGCCTCAATTTCCCCAACAACTACAGTCCTGTGAGGTGGATTAGACTAAGAGAGAATTACTGGCCCAAAGTCACCCCTCTGTCTTTTGTGCCTAAGGGGGGACTAGAACT